CCCGATGTAATATGCCACTTTTCCGGCAGCCCTTGACTCTTTTACTTTGGGCCACAAGCTCTTCCTTCTTTCCTGGTCCAGAAATGACAGATCCTCCTCGAAGCGCAAGTTATTTTCTTTGAGAAGCTGTGAATTCTTAGCCGCTTTACACAAGACATTGTGAACTACCCGTGAGGTAAATTGCATGATAATGGCGTGAGGTTTTGCGTTGTCATCTCTCCTCCCTATGCAATGCACAGTGTCGACAACATCAGGGTACCTCATCCTGGCATCTGGATAAGTTTCGCTGCAGATTCGAATCACCTCAGATCTGATGTCTCCCTTGAAAGATTCAGGTACCCCAAGTAGCCTCAAATTTTTCTACGAGAATATCTTTCCAGATTCGTTATACGCATTTCCCAAGCGCCCGTGAGCTTTTCTTGAATTTTCAGCCTTGCACGGCTTCCACATTCTTCTACATCTTTAACTTCAGCACACACAAAGTCTATTGTTTTTTTCATACCTTCAATCTTAAGGGTGTTAGCACTGATCAGTCCTTCAAGTGTGTCAGACATCGTGTTGATCAAAAAGAAAAATGTGGAAATAACCTTGGAATCAGCCTGCTTGGTTGGGCTGGGGTTACCTTATTTATGTGCAGGTGACTTGCTAGGAGTTACAACTGCGTCACCTGATTATTATTTGTTTCTTAATGTTCATTTTTTTTTGTTTAAAAATACAGTCAACAATTCTTGAAAATCACAAATGTCTTTGATTTATACTGAAAGCGAGGGCCGGCTTTTGTCACCAAAGATTATAGTGCAGGTTAAATCTAGGCCTACATTGTGGTTGTAGTTTAGACACATGATGAAAAGTGCTTGACCAACCCATTATTTTGATGGTATGTCATGACTCATGAGTTTTTTCTTTAAATGACCAACTTCTTCTGTGCTGCACTTGGAGGTTCAAAGCTGATATTTGTCACAAAAAAAGATAAGGTGGAATGACCAGCACTGCTCCAGAGACACCAGCAGCGGCGAAGATACATACACAGGGTGCAGCACCGAGGACCGTCCATCAGGTACAGGGAGGGTTTTATTCCTTACCTTTTGAAAATGTTTGTAATTAGGAATGTTTCTGCAGGAGACATGTCAGTGTTTATTTTAATGTAAGCTATTATTTTGTAACAAATGTTTGAATGTTTAAGTATAATTTTGAGTGTTTAAATGCATATTTATGTATATACATAATTAAATATGTGTTTAAATACATATGTTTGTGTGTTTTTTTGTTCCTCTGTGGGGGCATCACAGTAAAATTTTGCATAGGGCACATTTTGGCCAGCAGCGGCCCTGTCCGTCACTGTTTTGTCTTGCTTGATATTCCGGCTTTTTGTGCTTTGAATTATGTGTTGGGGTATCGGTATACTTATACATGTAGTGACTTTATTCTTCAATGCGAAAGTTGTCGTGTTTTCAGAGCAGTTTTTTCCTTTGCTGCTATCTCCATGGTCTCTGGCCAGGGGGAAGCCAAGCCTTCCCCAGCCTTAAACACGCTCCGCAGTCTTCGTCCTTGGGAATATTACAAATCTTCTTTGCTTCTTTATTAACAATGTTCTCCAAACTTGTGTAGTAGTCCCCAGTCTCTTGAATGAAACAAGCTGAATTTGGCTTTGATCTAGTTTGTCTTTTTTTATGCACATGAAACTTACCCATAATAATAAAAAGTTGCACCAAAAAGATAATTTTCTTTGCATTTATTGACAAAATAACTGCAAATGGGTCGTTATCACTATAAAGTGCTTTTGATGTCCCTCAAGACGGGATCAATCCTTTATGAACATAATGCGAAATAATGAAACTCTCATGTTTCAATATGGTTGGTTAAACCTTCACACACGCAGGTAGCATTGAACGTGTTTTGAAATATGTTTTTGTCAATCTGTCCATGTTCTTTCATTAAATGGATGTGATTTTGCCATGTCACACCGCTTCAGTGACTACAGAATGTAGGTCGATTAGATCAAATGAAGAAAGAGTTTTAAATATTCTCATTGTCTCTAACAAGTTATTTGACCAAAATAAAAACAACGTAATTTTAATAACTATTTTGTTTTTATAACATGATTAATCATTTTGCACGTGCCCTTGAAATTGCTCTCCACCCTGTCACGATGTGGTAAATGCCCCTTTAAGAAACCGTCTGATGTACTCATTGGCGTCCCCCATGCCCGTTTTTCCCCTTTCTTCAGAGGAGGGTAAAACATCCGCTTTGACACACAGTAACTATGTTTCCTGTTTTTCCTCATGTTGTGTTTGAAATTGAATGTTGTCAAGCTTAACATGTCCACCCCCAGCAAGCATTTTTGGTCTAAAAGACGTCTCTTAGACGTCTAAACATAGCCTAGACGTCTAGGCTAAATCAAGGCTAAATTTAGGCTGTCAGTGAAAATCTAATAGACGTCAGCATAGCCCAAGTTTAGACTAGACGTAATTTAGACGGCTTCATATAAACGTCCAATAGCCGGTGAAATTCAGTGAAAATCTAATAGACGTCCAACCGTAGCCCAAGATTAGCTTAGACGCGATTAAGGGCCGTGGACACGTACAACTCGCCCAAACTCACCCTTCCGTTGGTCGTTTGATTGACATACGCTCTGGCCAATCACAACGCCGCTATGATTTGCCCACGCCCCGAGAACCATGAAGAGACCCAGGTAAACAAACGATTAATTCGTCCTCCTCTAACAGTTTCGTAGATCCTACATGAACCGCATTACTGCTGCACCAATCCGCCAGTAAATCTCTTGTTCCATCCTTCCCTCACCCGTAAACAAAACGCCAAGATACTTGAACTCCTCCACCTGGGGTAAGGACTTTCTTCCATCCTAAAGATGACAAACCCTCTTTTTCCGGTGGAGCACCATGGTCTCGGGCTTGGAGGTGCTGATTGTCATCACAGCAGAGTCACACTCGGTAGCAAACCGCCCAGTGCAGTCATATTTAATTGTAATTTTTAGTTTTAAATAATTTGACAAAACATTCTTTGTTTTACTTTAGTATTTCAGTTTGTCATGTTTATATTTATCTTTTCCTTATCCAGTTTGTTTCAGCAAAAAAAATATTTTCACCATTAGTTTCACACAAATTTTTGCACTTTAAAGTATTTAACATTTTAATTTACTATCCATCTAATCTTTATTTTATTTCATCTTTATCTCAATCATCAATGAAGTTCAATGTTGTTTTGCTTTTAATTTTACTCAGTAATTTTGCCACATTTTTTGTTCAGTTTCATCAAAAATTTAATGTAAAATATTAATAATTCATTAGTTTCTGAGATACAAATATACAGACTACAATATATACAATATAAATCAAGGTCTCCAATAGAACTATCACAAGCAGGCTTCATACACATTTTTTACTACTAAAATTCCATAACTTTCAAGTCAGTTTTCATGACCTATTGATTTTTGTAATGTCTACGTATGCCATGAAAACAATGACGTTCAAATGTATTACAGCACATATAGAACACGCAACTGTCTATTTTGTTTAAATTTGTATTTATATCTATGTAAAATTGAGTTTGATCATGCTTAAACAGCTCTAACAATGTCAGAGCAAGTTTTTGGCCAAGGACAGAATAAAAGTAAAGACAACTAATCTAAATTCAAGTTAGGGCATCACAATATATTATTTCAGCATCGATATCACAATGTGTGCATCTGCAATAGTCTCATCTCAGGATATGCAATGTTGGGATTATAGATTAATATAGGGTTTAATCATAATGGATTAAAAGTTTATCATTTCCTAGCATTTTTAAAGAGATAGTTCACACAAACATTACTTACCATTTTCATTACACCCTTCATTTGTTTTAAACACTCTTTTTTTAAATAGAACACAAAATATATAATTTAATAACTCCTATAGTATTGAAATAAGTGAAGTGAGTAAATAGTGAATACATTTTTAATCTTTAACTCTTCCTTTAAGGCCTGTCTGTGACTGTGGGAACATTTCAATATTGTTGATTATTCAATATCTGTAGCTGAATAGTGAATACCTGAAAACTATAATTCACTTTTGTCTTTGCTAAATGTTATCTATGCTGGTAATTTATTTGTTATATAATATTCAAGAATCCCTACTTAATCACCCCAATCAATCCAAATAAATCTGTTAAATCATCTAGTGAAATTGTATTCACATCGCAATATACAGTTGAAATTAGAATTATTAGCCCCATTGAATTATTCGCGCCATGTTTTATTTTGTCCCCAATTTCTGTTTAATAGAAAAGATTTTTTCAACACATTTCTAAACATGATAGCTTTAATAACTCATTACTAATAACTGATTTATTTTATCTTTGCTATGAAGACAGTAAATAATATTTTACTAGATATTTTCCAGGATACTTTTATACAGCTTAAAGTGACATTTAAAGGCTTCACTAGGTTAATTAGGTTGACTAGGCAGGTTAGGGTAGTTAGGCGAGTTGTTGTTTAACTATGGTTAGTTCTGTAGACTATGGAAACAAAAATTTAGCTTAAAGGGTCTAATAATTTTGTCCCTAAAATGCTTTCAAAAAAATTAAAAACGGCTTTTTTTCTAGCCAAAATAAAACAAGTAAGACTTTTTCCAGAAGAAAAAATATTATCAGACATACTGTAAGAATTTCTTTGCTCTGTTAAACATCATTTGGCAAATACTTAAAAAAAAATAATAATAATTCAAACGGGGGCTAATAATTCTGACTTCAACTGTATATCACAGAAATACAAAATATTGTAATGTCAGATTTTTTCCAATATCTAGTAGTTCTAATTCCAGTATACAGATATTTGTTAAACTAATTTCCATGATTTTTCCAAAACTTTTTCAGGCCTGGAAAATGCCATGTCAAAACTCCATGACTTATCCAAGTTTTCCATGACTGTGCAAACCCTGCACAAGTCAGTATTCAAGGAAAGGAAGAAACAGAAAGAAAAAAAACCCACACAAGCCATAAAATTGGTTTATAAAATGTAATTTTTAAGCATGTTACATAACATACATAGGGCATAAAACATTTTCACAAGGCTTTTGTGAGACTAAAATCCATGGGAAATTTAAAAAAGAGAGAAAGAGAAAAAAAAAAAATCAACCACATACACAATAGAAAAAAAAGACAAAAAGGAGAAACGAAACATAATAATAATAGTGGTCCAATCTATAATGACACTCTCTGGACAACCACACACACCTGCGCACAAAGCATTACAAACACAACTCCAATATTAGCAAGGTGGCACTGCAATGTTTTAAAGTCAACAACACTAACTCACTCGTTCCCTCTCCTCTCCAGTTCCCAGCGAGAGCGTGATGTATAATCCTTTTCACTTAAACCTGACCATCAGCGAATAACCGTGCCACAGATAGTGTCAGAATTGGTCTGCATGCTAGAGGGGAACCGCTAACTCGAAAGGGTCACTTTGAACGTAGCATTACTAAAAACAAGATCAAATCAAAAGATGCCCTAAGTTGTCTTACAAATGGTTTTAACGTCTATGGATGATCTCGATGTCCATAAAATAAGAGCAAACGGGACACTTAACAGGCCAAAATCAAGTGAAAAATAAAATGAAAACTAAATATATTATTAAACCGGAGGACCGTCAGATACTACATAACCACTGCAGATTAGCTAATATTTCCAAGGAAAATCTGAAATGCGATTGGAAACGTACACCATTTCAGCAAGTGTCGTCATCTTTTTTTTGTTTTGTTTATAATTTAATTTCCATATCGAACTATCTAAAGCGTGACTGAACACTGGTTTTCAGTGGACGTGCACAACCCGCGGTAGTGCTGAGGTGAGACGGGTAAAGAGTGTTAAAGTACAACATACAGTAGGTGTTAACTAAATTAGCGTTTCTCAACCACGTTCCTGGAGGACCAGCAGCTCTGCACATTTTCCAGGTCTCCTAAACCAAACACACCTGATTTAGATCATCAGCTCATTAGCAGAGACTGAAAGACCTGTTATGGGTGCATCAGACAGAGAAGACAACTAAAACATGCAGTGCTGGTGGTCTTCCAGGAACGTGGTTGAGAAACACTGAACTAAATGCTTCAATATCCCTGCAATTATTATTATTCTTTTTTTTTTAGTCTCAGACTTACCTGTGATGAAATGCATGTCCTTATTTTTTATTTATTCATTAATTTATTTCTTTTCCGTTAACTATCACTTTAAGATTATACGCTTGTATAAAATGACACTAGTCATACTTTTTTTTTTACTACAGCAGAAACTGCACATTATGGAAGGCCAAGACAAACCGACTAAGGGAACAAGGGTTTCTCCCCGAATATCTTTCTTTTCTTGTCCAGAAGCTGCACTGTGAAAAGACTAAATGATTTCTTTCTCTTTTTGTCATAAACAGCTCTTCATTATTAATCATGTGTTTGATCTTTACTGGAGGAATTCAGACATGGAGTGAGAAGGAATGGAGATGTGTAAAAAGGTTGTTTGTTGTTGTTGAAGGAGCGAGTGTTTAGTTCTCTCCTCCCTCGCCTCCTTCTCCCTCATCCGGTGCGTTGTCAGATGTCCATAACTGGTGGAAGAGAACAAAAAAAAGAATAATTATTTGATGAGGTCAGAAAATCATTTAGTCTTTTTACAGCTATCTAGTACAATTTATATATATAATTAAAATATTTTCAGGTTTATTTGTTAAACATGTTCCTAAAATAGCTTATTTCTATTTTAGTTAGTAATTTTAGTACTTAGTTTGTCCTTTAAATAAATATATTTGTCCTTTAGTTTGTTTTTCATTCCATATATTTTATTTTAGCTTTTAGCTTTTTTCTTTTTTCTGTTTCTATTTTTTGGTTAATTTCTCATTGTCAAATTTATTTCTAAGTAGGGATGTAATGAATCAGAGTATCTTCCGTTTAATCCATATATGTTTACAAACAAAAAAAGGAAAATGAAGAAAATGGCCATTTTTCTGTTTTTCATTTGCTCACAAAAAACGGAAAAAAAATTTATATTGGCTGGATATTTGTTTTTTAAATTCAGGGCAGGAAAATGGATAAACAACTTCAAAATTCATTATACACATGTAGGCGGTGCTGAAACACCCTTTTTTTATTGGTCAACCAAATCTGAGCTTGTGACGCAGCCCTTTAAAATAAGAGCCCTCTCTGGACCAGCACCCAGGCTCTTTAATTATTATTATTTATTTATATATATACACTAGATTTACATATTCTGTCGTTTGATCAGTTAGCAGGCTTACATCAAAAACTACATCTTTGAAGCATGCGCTGTAAAACTATAAAGCTATAAAGTATAAAAATAGTTATTCATTCTTCAGCAGATCTGTCAATGATGTATTTTATAAACTGATCATTAATAGGGACTAAGCTATAAATAACTGTAATTCTCCAAATGAAAAAGGCTTGTTTTAAGCCATTTTAAAGATTTTCTACAATTTAAGCAGAATTAGATTAAAGAGAACTTAATTCAGAATAGTGCGATGATTTCTGTGCGTATTGCGCTTTACAATAGATAATGCATCAAATAAATAAATGCACTAAATAGTAGCCTATATGCAATATTTATATGTGCAATATGGAATTGGGCACGCTATAGCACTTTAACAATTTTATTACGAAGAGCAAATGTCAAGTTCACTATTAGCGGTAATATAGCCCACATGCCATGGGCTATGTTTTTATATTATTGTTAATATCATCAGCCTATTTTTATTATTATTAATATCATCAGCCTATTATTATTATTATTATTAATATTATTATTATTTAGATCTACAGTAGCTCAGAAACAATCATGCAAACTAGGTGAAGCTTGCAAATGGCGGTTTTTGCTCAGCATCAGGTGTACAGCAGCAAGATGTTTGGTAGCGAACTATAGGCATTTATTACTATTATTATTATTATCAGCATTATTTTTATATATAGGCCTTGCTTGGAAATAATCATGCAAATCAGGACGTTTGTCAGCTAACTATGACCTTATTTTAATGACAAATGTCTAATAATACTGCTAATTTATGTTTTTATTTAATTTATTCATACGCAATGAATGTAAGCCTGCTAACTGATCAAATGACAGAACATGTAAACCTAGTTTATATATATAATTAAATAATAATAATTAAAGAGCCTGAGTGCTGGTCCACAGCGGGCTCTTTTTTTGAGGGCTGCGTCACGAGCTCAGATTTGGTTGACCAATCAGAAGAAAATGGGTGTTTCAGCATTGCCTACTTGTGTATAATGAATTTTGAAGTTGTTTATCCATTTTCCTGCCCTAAATAAAAAATAAATTAACTAAAAAAAACGAAAATTCTTTTAAGTGCTGCAGTCAAATTTGCGTTTGATTGAGAGAGTTTCAGTTTTTACACATTTTCAGTTAGTAACAAACAATTAAATAACACAGAAGAACTGGGAGAACAGTTTATAGTTCAGATATAAACACTGATGTTTATGGTAAAGATTAAAGTCTCATGTGAAAGTTTGACTTGGGTGAAAGCAAATACATTGTGTAACCAACAGGTGGCACAACAACCATCAAAATGATGTCACTGAAAAGGTTTTCAAAATGTTTTATGTGTGAATTGTTGAATCATAAATTGAAAATAAATATGATGTTGTACAAGATGTTACATGTCTATATTTAGCATAATCAGCAACAGTAGCAAAGATCATTTGTCGCATTGAATATTTTCCTTTTTTTCAGCTGGTTCTTTCTTGATTTTTATTTTTATTAAAATTACAGGTTCTAAGTTTTGTTTGTTAAAACCAAGGGTTTTTGCAGTAGTAGTTTTGTGTAAATGGAAAGCAATTGACATTTGTCTCTTCTTTTTTTTTGCTGATTCGAAAAATGGTCTGATGCGTGACTCAAAAACCGTACTGTGAGCCGAACTGTATGATTTGTGATCCGTTACGCCACTAATAGTAGGATAGAGACAGGAGTTGAACATGATTATGAAGGTGAATAATTAATATTACTTTTATAATTAATTAGTGTAAGTAACACTGTAATACACTTACAAAGAGATAATCTTGAACAAAAAATAATCTAACACCCACTTCTGTAACAGCTGTATAGACGTCTGTGACAGTAGTTTTTCACTGTACTGACGGTTTATGTGCTTCATATTCGTTCTTCTGTCAGCGTAAGTAAATGTCTTTTTGCAGTATTTGCACACAGTTTGTGTTTTTTCTGGCGTACTTCACTGCTGTCGTTTTACTTTGCCGCCCCACCTCTTGCTTGCCACTTGTGTGCAGTTAAAGCGAGCTTGCGCCTGTAAACACATCGCCGCCTCTGTTCAAAACAAGTAACACGATTTATTTAACATTTTAACCGGTTTAAATATTTACATTTGATTTGATTTTCACCCGACTCACAGTGAATTGTTACATCTCTATAACTTTCGCTTGGTTGTTGAATTTTCATTTGGTTTGGTTTACTGTCAAATATTTTAGCCTATTTGATTAAAAATAGTCAGTAGACTTTTCATTTAATAATTTAAATACTTTCATTTATTCAATTTAATTTAGTTATTTTAGTTAGTAGGGTGGCACAGTGGGTAGCGCTGTTGCCTTACAGCGAGAAGGTCGCTGGATTGAGCCTCTGCTGAGTCAGTTGACATTTCTGTGTGGAGTTTGCATGTTTTCCCCGTGTTCATGTGGGTTTCCTCCAGGTGCTTCGGTTTTCCCCACAGTCCTAAGACATGTGCTGTAGGAGAATTGGGTAAGCTAAATTGTCTGTAGTGTATGTCCTGGTCCTCCAGATTGGGGGTTAAGTGTTGGGCTAACAACTCACCTCATAAAAACTAGATGTTACAAAACACCAATATGGTGTGGCTAAATATCAACTTCAATATAAATGACCCTGGGGGTACATATTTTAGTTGGTCCCAAAATTTATAGTTAATCTAATCTTTATTTTACTTTGAGCTTTTTTTGATTTATATTTTTAGTATTTCACTTTTTTTTTTTCATTTTGTTTGGTAATTGCTACTTAATTTTAGCTTTATTTTAGTTTTACTTCAGCCATGTTACAACTTAAAATATGACAGAAATATGTTGATGTGCTACAATTAATAACTTAAAACTATCACTGAAATAGAAACTTTTTGTTAACTGAATAAAGCTTCAATAGAAATTATACATACATACATACATACATACATATATATATATATATATATACGAAAAATAAGCTGTTTTCCATTTAATATTTTAACTTTAATGAGCAAAACTATTTATTTTAGTTTTATTTAATTTGTTTTAGTAATGCAACTTATTACAATTGACTGGTTTGTTTTGCATCTAGTGTTATATTTTATTTCAGCATTTTTTGAATTCACAAAAAAAAAACAGTTTCTGCTTTTATTAAAGTCATTTTAAGTCAACTTCAGCTTATTTCAGTCAAAAAAAACTAATATTTCAATAGTCCAATTGTTTCAGCAAGAAAAATAATGATAACAATAAAAACCATCGCCATTTTTCTCCACTGATCTATTAGACTGCATTTTTAAATCCTTTTGCTTTCGCATTTCCACAGCACATCACACCACCACTCCATTAAATCACCATCTGGCCACGTTTGCTCTCAGAAGTGCCTGTGTAAAAGTATAAATGTGTGCTGTGACTCACTGTGAGGTTGTCTCTCAGTAGCTGCATGATAAGAGTGCTGTCTTTATAGGACTCTTCATTCAGAGTATCCAGCTCTGCTATGGCCTCGTCGAATGCCTACATTTGAATGAAAAACACTCGTGGTTAAAAATAAAACATGTCTGCATCCAAAGGGGACACCAAGCACGGTCATCAGGAACGTACCTGTTTAGCAAGAGAGCAGGCCTTTTCTGGAGAGTTGAGGATCTCGTAGAAGAAGACCGAGAAGTTGAGAGCGAGACCCAGACGAATGGGGTGTGTGGGCTGCATCTCTGTCTTGCTGATATCAAACGCTTTCTGGTAAGCATCCTGAGAGTTCTCAATGGTTGCTGGGAAGAATAAATAAACAGCTTTGTTAGGCATGTAATGCATATCGAGTACAATAATGTCAACAGTCAGGGGTTGTTTGAGGCTAGAGGAGCTTTACAGCTGGTTAAGCGTTGTACATTAAGTTTGTGTTGTATCTTGTAGTTTTTCTTATAGTGTGACTTAACTTACATTATCTAGCTTGTCCGAAATATGTACAAAAATGGATCATATTTTGAATGGGTTTAATAAGTGATGTTTGTTGCCGTAATCAGATTATGAATTGATACGAGTTGCATTAGATTAGCTTAAGAATTTGTACCTTTTACAACAACTTTTTTTTTTAAATTAAAGATAAAAATGTAATGTAAAAATGTAACAAAATTGTATTGTATGTTTTGTTGTTGTTTTTAGATACTTTGTGTGTGTATCCTATATACATAATAAATATCAATAATACACACACGTATATTATAGCAAAACAAACCTTAATTTTTGATGCGATTAATCGCAATTAATCTCTGCCCAGCACTATAAATACTATAAACACGTTTCTGTAAGTTTTCGTAAGGTTAATTTAAGGCTTTAAAGATTTGTGCAAACCAGGACCAACATTTAACACCTTGTGACTTAACAAAAGGTGTTAATATGAATGTGCACATCAAAGCGCAAAACACCAGGGCTAAAAGTGTAAAAGAAAAAACTCTGGCTCATTTTTTGGGTTTGAGATGCTGCATTAAAATATTAAATTAGGGCTGTGATGATAAATAAATGCTGCAATTTACAAACTCCATTGTGATTCTCTTTTTAATAGATTCTTAGCTTGCCTTTTACCACCAGATGGTGCTGTTTACTTTACCAACTCTGACAATCCTTTCACGTATCACTTGAACGTAAAAAATAATTGTTAATAAAGTTAATGGTTTAATGAAAATGTTTAAGCGAATTGCAAGAGTGTTCATAGTGAGCTGTGTGCAATAAGGTATGTGCACAGCTAGTGTTTCTTCCCATACGCATAAACTTCCGGTGAAAGCTTAGTGTGACTTTTTTCAATTTTATACAGTTCCTTTTACAGCATTGATGTTGTAATGTAATCTAAATATAATCAGTTAAATAGATGTCAGCATTTATTTAGTTGTTTACCTATAAAACAAGATGAAAAGCCATTTTCACGCACATGCCCGTCAGGACAAGCAGGCTAGCACAGAAGCTCCATTAAATATACTGGGGTAAAATAAATGTTCATATTTTAAAGACACAGCATGGAAAAATAAAATTGAATTCAGCGCTTCTTGTACATTCTGAGACCCACTTTATATTGTATATTAATCAGGCAGTGGAGATCACTGATTTTTTTTTTTTAACAGACCTTTAACGTGCCGATTTTGTAACGACATACAGTTCACCAAAAGTACTTGACCGAGGTTACTACAAAATTAAAATTCCTACCACATACTTCTGCATACACCCTAATACAGAACATAACCGAATGCACAAGCACTCTTCTTTGTGCTCATGAACAGTGTAGCCTAGAGCACCATCTGTTGGTAAAAAGACTCGATTGCAGAGAGAATTGCGATGCGCTTCAAAAATAATTACTGATTCATAAATAACAATTTGAATAAACTGATTTATTGTCCCATCCCTATATTACATATACAGTGCCTATAGAAAATCATCATAACCCTTTGAAATAATTACTTCATTTGTCATACAGCCTGAAATCAAATCACATTCCAAATACATTTTCCAGTCTTTGAAATGTTTTATAGCCTTTTCCTAACCTGTGCCTTTCTACAACCTCATCCTGAAGAAAGATTTTTTTCAACACATTTCTAGACATGGTTAGTTCAATAACTCATATTATTTAATAAACAATAGTTTTAATAACTCATTTCTAATAACTGATTTCTTTTCTTTGCCATAATGACAGTAACAAATATTTTACTCAATATTTTTTTTAGATAGTAGTATTTAGCTTACAGTGCAATTTAAAGGCTTAACTAGGGTAATTAGGCAGGTTAGGATAATAGGCAAGTCATTATATGACGATGGTTTGTTCTGTATCGAAAAACATAGAGCTTAAGGGGGCTAATAATATTAACCTAATGTTTTAAAAAAAAATTATTTTATTCTAGCTGAAATAAAACCAATAATATCTTCTCCAGAAGAAAAATATTATAGGAAATACTGAAAAAATAATTCCTTGGATTGTTAAACATCATTTGGGAAATAAAATTAAAAATTAAAAAAAAATCACAAGAGGGCTAATAATTTTGACTTAAACTGTATTTATACACATTTAATTTTCATAAATGCATTGGTAAATTAATAAATACTGCTATAACAAATATTTGAAGTGCACATATAAAAATATAAACACTGTTAAAAAGAGAAAATCCTTACTGTTGCGACCTACAAAGCTCACATGATGAAATCAGAAAGAGTATCTGTAGTGAGCAGATAATGATCAGCCTATACTCCGACACGAGACAAACTTCCCCTTGTTTAGATGTTTCCAGTTACATCATACCAAGGAAAGTCCAGTCCTCCATTTCACAGAAGCATGTCTGTAAAAGCCACTAAACCAGCAGCCCGTGCATTCTTACCTTTCTTGTCGTCTCCTGCAGCCACTTCAGCCAGGTATCTGTAGTAGTCGCCCTTCATCTTCAGGTAGAAGACTTTGCTCTCAGGATTTGAGGAATTCTCAATTAAATATTTGTTCAGAAGCTCCTGTGAGAAAAAAACAAACAAACAAATGAAAGAAATTAACCAAAAGTCGGTTTTTACATGTACTTAAGAGTACGTAAACACAAATTTTGTCACCTGAGTACCAGTATTTGAATCTCCATATAACTTTTAAATTGGAAAAGCACAGATACTGGATGAAAATTAATATTTCTGGGGCGCATGTGTTTTGGAATTAACTCAAAGACAATGATAAGCTCTGAACTTTATTACTCTATATTCATCTAAGAGCCAATCACACACCAGAAATGTGCAACAATGGGAATCTAAAAGTGTGTTAATATTAGAACGCACAGAATTTTTGCCACAGAAAATTTATCGGCCGAAAATGTTATGCCATTTAATGGTTCCTCTAATTTTTGCAGCTTCAGTCATTGTTGGGGTCCTCATTATATCTGGAAGCATTAACTTATAACTAAATACATATCATTATCATTCAATATGGAAAATAATTATAGAGATTGCATTTTTACCAAATCGCCTAGCCCTAGCCTTTAGTTAGGGCTGGGCCGATAAACGATATTATATCGAATCGCGATAAAATTTATGTCAATAACAATGTTAAGCTCTGGACTTTGATCTAAGCAAGAAATGTGCAACAATGGAAATCTAAAAGTGTGATTTGGGCCACTGAAAATGTATTGGCAAAAATATGCCATTTAAGGGACCCTCTAATTTTTGTGGCTTCAGTCATTGTTGGGGTACTCTTTTCAATCTGGAAGCATTAACAACTTATATCAAAATATATATTGTTTTCGTTCAATATGGAAAATAATTATCAAGACTGCATTTTTGCCATATCGCTAAGCACTACCTTTAGTACATTTCAGAGCTCATGATTCTGAATAAACTGAGTTGTTTTATTTCTGCTTTTCAAAGTAATTTACTAAATGTTCTAAACTATTTATTTTGCTGAACTCTATTTTATATTATGTTTATTATTTATATTGAGATTTGAAAAAATAATAACTTAAATTAAAGATTTATTTATTCACTTGCTCATTACTGGATGAACTGCACTGACAAATACATTTTTAATTGGAACCCAAGACATCAGTGTTTATTTCTCAATTATAAACATTTATCTCAGCACTACTGTGACATTTACAATATTAGTAAAACAGAAATACTGGTTAAATAATCTTAAAGATTTAGGTTGCTTTATAATGATACTTGATAATTGCTCTAAATAGCTATGTTTCCATCCAAAGATGCGACTTAAATTTATGATCAAAACAGGAATGTCAATGAAAAGACGTGTCGATAAAGCAACATTTCCATCTAACGAGTCAAAGAGAACAAAATCGTTTATTTCTGATGAACTGGCACCAAATATCTAAAGTAAAAATGGAATTTACTGAGATAGGAGAAGCAGTGCAAATCTTTTTCTCATTTAATAAACAACTTGCGTCTCAGAAAACAAATGCTGACACGTAATGAACATGTGGCGGCGTCTGAAGGCGTGAGACGCAGAGTACAGATAATTAATAATATAATAACACTAATACTGAAATGGTTCCAGCATTTTAGAATGACCAAAACCCCATTTCAGATGTTTTACAGTGGGCTCAGCCTGCTGGCTTATCCATTCACACATATTTTTATCATCACAAGATCTCTTATAACAAAATCACATGACCTTTTTTAATGCGCATTTGTTCGGTAAAAGTGTTTCCATTGTAGTTTATGGGCATCTTTTCTTATTGAATAAGAAGTTTATCCTACTCAGTTATGTACATGCGCTTTTTATGTGCAAATCCAAAATGTGCATAAAAATAGGTGGATGGAAACGTTGACTATGTGTTAAACATATTTAAATGTACTGCTGTGATTATATAAAGTTGAATAAAAACATTCAAATCATGAACATTTGGAAGTAATATTTCATGGATGTTTGAATCAAAAATACAATCGTCTAAACAAATAATTCTTAAACTCTAGGCCTTATTATTTTCACTGTTTCTTCATGTCACTTGTTTAGGCCCCCAAAATCTCATAAAGCACCAGGTGAATGACCTTAAAAAAGGCTAAACATCAGCTCATCCTTCTGTTAGTGCCAATTCCAGACTGAATCGAAGTATGTTATGGGATTTTTCCTCCAAACTTCACTTTAGTCCAGGATTAAGCTTAATCTGGGTCTCGGAGACTTGCCCCTAACGCTGGAGTTCTGTCTTCCAGTCTAAGACTGTTTCAGCAGTAATCTATGTCAGTGAAAGCAGCAGCTTTAAGGCACGGCTAAATACCAGATTAGCCACCACACCAAGGATGAGAAAGATTAGCACAGAACAGCCAACACAACATCACAGCTCCTTATCTCACCGTAGCCCTGTTTCCACCTGCTATTAACCTAAGGTCTGTCCCAAACCGCAAATTTATGCACTACTCTACGCCATTTAGTAGAATAAATAGTATAAGTAGTGGATTCACACTAGAAGTTTAAATACAGTGCATTTTAAAAACCTAGATGATGCACTTATTCAACTGTTTATAAGTGTGAATCGACTCTTCACTTCATGTACCCATGAAGTAGGCCATAGTAGACCGATTTGGCATGGAGTTGGATTACTTTTATTTTGGATTTGTGCAAGTTAAATTCTTCAACATGAAAAATGATGCTGCCTTATCAGGAAGGTGAATGAAATTGTACTCATAACAGGTGCTATTTGGTAGTTTGGTCATTTAATTCACTAATTTGGCAACCATTAAACAACATCTGAGAAACGGTTTGAATTTGTGTTTGGTAAAAAACGCTAGGTGGTTAATTTGTGACGACACTAAACTCATTCACTACATGGTTGAGTATACATGTACATAAGTGCATAGTGTATTTCACACAGGGATTCGATCATAGTCTGCATTACGTCTTAAACTAGTGTCTCATGAGGTCATATCCTCTTTTCCACTATCAAGGTGAATGGTTCTCTTTGTTTAATTTAATAACATTCTGTTCAAGTTAACATGAAAACAGTTTGACAATGATGGTGCTGATCCATAAGCTCTTTGGAATGTTCTACAAATGCGCCAGTCATTGTCAATATAGCTGTTTACAAGAGTATTGTAAACAGCTCTATGAACAATAATCAGATATTTAGGTTTTTTTCTTTGATATTTACTTACAATAATAAACAAAAAAATAACACTATTGCTTAGCCAGCTATGAAGAAACTGGCTGCAAGGCAACATATTGTAAATGTAACAAACACGCGCTCAGCACAGATCAGCCAAGATGTTGTCATGCTTGTGCTGTGTCACACCAGGTTGTTGTAGATATAGAACTGGAACTGTTCTTAGAACCATTCGGCCCAATAGAGAAAAAGCACTTCATGTGTGCTCAGATTTTGTCCATTTTAATTTGTCCCATTCTACATGAATTTTACACTCTAGCTATGTTTCTATCAATGTGCAGTAATGCTAATTTTAAAGTAGTGCATCAAATAAATTCAGAAAAAGATTTCCTAAAATTACAAAAAAGGTTTTCAGCGCTGGTAAATGTAAATGCATGTGCCATGTAAATTCTGAAATAGTGGACATTAAACCAATGTGAACATCATTAGCCATATGAAAAACGTGATGGACCACACCAAAACACACCAAATTTACATTTAGCTCATTAATATTGTTATTTTGCTAACTTTAAAAAGATTTGCTTTACATTAAGATAGAAACCCAGTATAGAGTGCAAGAATACCATTGATTAAACAAACCTATGCTATAAAGCTTACAAGCTAGTTGGAATTTTTAATTAGGAAGCTGGAAAAATATGTGTATTGTGTGGAAATATAAATTTATATTATCTAATTTTAAATGAACAATAATCTACGTATAACTAAAAAGTTATATTCTCTGGTTTTAATGATATCATTTCATTAACATCCCAGCTAGGAGGGACATTAACCTTTTGTCTTTCTGATTACAGGCTAAGCCAAAGTAATGCAAATTGTTAGTTTCACAGCATGGTTGTGTCTATTGTTTTCTCTTTTCGATCAACTGGTCAGGTGGTTTCTGTCTCCAAAACATGACGAGATCAGGCCTGAAAAGGCAGTTTACCCTGCCGACCACAACTCTTAATTTGCATGCTTTGTTTAGCCATATCCCCTCCTCCTAAGAACACAATATAGACATGAAATCTTTGTCTTAATTCAGACTTGTGAGAGACTTGTGAAAGAACTTGCTGACTGCGGACCTCTAGTAGGCTCTTGCAGACACATGGACATCTAAAAGACGCTGTATGACTGCAGATTAACCAACACGTCTCAATAAAGGAATTCTGCTTGTTTTGAGTCTCCTGGACTGGGTTCTCTCTTTTTTTCACTCATTTATTTTTTACAACAATTGAAACTATACAGTTTCAATCCTGATCCATGTATTTTGGCACAATGCAGCAAAGTGTGAACATCTTATTTTATTATACTGTCTCACAACACATCCCATAACAAACACATGAAGTTGTCGCATTTATCCAACATCATCCTGAAGTGGCTAAATGTGCACATACTACTACAGGTTTTAGACACTTTTGAAGCCCATTTGTAATATCGTCCACTTATGATAAGATTAATAAAAATGCATCTTGATGGCGGGTCAGAAATGCACCTTCAATAGTTGAATATTTCTCTTCATCCTCCTACACTTTACTGATATCTGCTTCTGTGCCTCACAAATAAAAAAAAACAAATCAGCATGAAACAGATCAGCTCAAATCTAGACTAGTCCAACATTTCATGCTCTCTGTGTGATTAAAGCGACAGTTCACAAAACAAACATCATCTCTCATCATTTACTCACCCTCATATCTTTTTAAAACCCAAATGACTTTCTTTTGTGTTCATTAAAATAGGGTGAAAGTCAGGGTGTTTTGGACCCTGTTTACTTTCACTGTATAGTTTTTTTCAAAGGAATCCCTGTTGCCTTCATAAAGGTTTAGGACATGAGTAAAGATGACAGAATTTAGATTTTTGGTTAAGCTCTCTTTTTCAGAAATGCCT